GCTGGATTGGGCTATGGGCTGCATTTTGTGCCATGGCAGCGTCAGATGTGATTTGGTGGGCTATCGCTCTGGGGTGGTGGCAGGGGGGGAAACTGAGTGTTGCTTTGTGAACACCAGCTCCATGGTGCCATTTCTCTGTAAATGGCCAGTGCACGTCACAGCAGCTCCTGCGTTGAGCATCTGCCCCCTGGTAGTCAGTGTGCATCATAGCAACCAGTCGGGAGTGCAGAGGAACACTTAGCATATTAACTTTTTACATATATAGTTAGATGTCACCCCAATAAATGTGATAATTTTTTTTTAAAACCTAGATTAACAAAGAAGACTCTCTATTGCACCAGATACCTGGGCCAACACATCTGACAAGTGCATTACTCTGGACCACCGCAGTCAACTTTCATTACAACACCTCTACACATTTTCTCTGCCTTGATTTTCTACTGAAATGAGACCCCTGAATCAAGGAAAGTCAGGTGACAGGAACAAAAATGCACAGCTATACTAACTATGCATCACCACTATCGTAAATCTTCCCCAACGGAAAGCTTATGCTCTGGTTTCCTGTTTGCTGTCCTTGAGAGAGTAAGCGATGCCAAGTCACAGAAACCTATAGTACTTTGCTTCCCATTTCCCTACAGCTATTCTATTTACAACTTTATTTTGAAATAGCTGACTTCACAGCTTTTGCCATTTAGTAACCCTTCAACATAAGGACCTAATATGAAATCCTTAAAATGAACTGAGTAGTCATCAAATACTCAAAAGTCCAAATTACCTAGACTGGTAGAGGTTAATGTTCTGCATTAAATACAAACAGAAAGTATCAATTTTGTACTCTGATTATGCCTGCCAAAGAACTGAGTCAAATAAACACATAAAATATGATAGATGAGGGCAATAGGGTAGAAATACCATCACAGTTATTGAGAAAGGTCTAAGAAGTGGGCAAAGGTAGGTATGTTCTAATCTCCTTTCACCTCTACATACTTCCATCTGGACCTTCAACTCTCCTTTTCTAGTGTAGAGTTGACTTAGAAATAACCTTTTAATATTTCATTCTATTTATAATTTTTATAGCCACATAACCACTAAGGGCTGTGCTACTGAGTGGGTATATGGCAGCAACCCAAGTATCTGGGATAACTAGAAAAATAATTGTAAGAACACAGTTAAGTATCAATTTTAGATTTTCATTAACCTTGTCTTTCTATAATGTTGGTTTATCAAATTAGTTCACTCTGAAAAATAGAAAATTAATCATATGTTTATGGAGCTTGGAATTCACCTTCCTTCTCATTCTATAAGTAAGAAACAGGTCTGGAATACTGTTATTTGATTAAGGTTAAAGTATAGTTAGTCAGGCAGATAGGATCAGGACATTCTAAGACTTTCCATTATATTCCACAATCCTCAAAAGAGCCTGAAATACAAGACTTTATTACCCAGAGCACTTAGATACGCCAGAGGTTAAATCAACTACTTGAAAGAAGTAAAATGACCCACCTTAAGCCTTGGCCTTTGCTATAAAATAATTCCTAGGTGAGTCCAACAAAGATGTTATAAGGGGCCCCTTGAGAGGCAAAGAGCCTTTCAACACTATAGTCAAATTTCTTTGTTTGGATTCATAAATTATGGGCAAGTGATTTCAACTAGGGCATATTATGTGTGGGGTCCTAATATAGTATTACTGGTCATAGCATTAATATTATTTATAAATTTTATACTCTTCAGTATCAGCATTATTTCAAATAAAAATTCAAACTTGGTTCACAATATGAAATAAAATAGGGTAGGAAAGCTGGTATTGTAGCGTTTAAAAATTTTAAAAGGCAGGTTTAAATAGATTACCAAGAGTTCAGTTATTATAACAAGTTGAAAAAATCTGTCTCAAAAAGTTTTAACGCTTGTCATAGTTAAAACAAATTGCTAAAATGACAGCATTCTTTTTTAATCTTAAAGAACTTAACTTACCCATCTGTGATAGATTTTCCTATCATATCTTAAGATAGGTGACAATACACCATATTATTGGCAACCTATTAGGAAAAGCTCTCTTATAAAAAGCAAAGTAAAATAATAGTAAATAACATTGATAATTTAAAATTATAAAATATAAAATCAAATAAGAGCATGGGCTCAAACTGATGTTTGTACCTCAATGTTCATAAGGACATTGTTCACAATAGTCAAAAAAAAACCAAACAAAAAAAAAAACACTGAGCCGGGACCGGTTTGGCTCAATGGATAGAGTGTCGGCTTGGGGACTGAAGGGTCCCGGATTCGATTCCGGTCAAGGGCATGTACCTTGGTTGTGGGCATATCCCCAGTAGGGGGTGTGCAAGAGGCAGCTGATCGATGATTCTCTCTCATCGATGTTTCTAACTCTCTATCTCTCTCCCTTCCTCTCTGTATAAAATCAATAAAATATATTTTTTTTTTTAAAAACTGAAATAGCCACTGCCAGGTAAATGGCTAAACAAAATGTGGTTTATAGATACAATGAATATTATTCTGTCTTAAAAAGGAATGAAATTTTGATATACACTCTGTCATGGATGAACCCTGAAAATATTACACTCAGAAAAACAAATATTGTAAGATTCTGCTTATATGAGAGACCTAGAAAAGTCCAATTCATAGAGGCAGAAAGTAGAATGATGGTTACCAAGGGCTGGGAGAGGGGGAATGGGAAGCTATTATTTAATGGGTATGAAAGTTTCAGTTTGAGATGATTAAAAGTTCTGAGATACATAGTGGTGATGGTTGAATAAATATTTGAATGTACTTAATGCCACTAAATTGTAGACTTAAAATTTGTTAATCATATGTATACCTTACATCAATAAAAAAAAATATCTAATGAGCAATACTAAGTGAAAGTTCTTTTATGATCTTGGCCCATAAGACACATGTTCAAAAAAAAAATACAACAAAAAAGCAGTATCAGCCCCAGAGCCTTAGAAATATTAATATTTCTAATATACACCATCAAACAAAAAGACTTTGGTTCATCAACCCAAAGCCATTTATCCTGTGTATTCATTACTTAGATAATTAATGTTCACGATTAAATCAGACTATGAATACTACATTTACATTAAGCACACTTTCCAATCAACCAGAGAGAAAGACAGAAATGGAAGCAGTGGAATTGTGTCAACATATTGACACAGCAACCATCTGTTGACATTACTGTCCTCTGAATCCAAGGGACCAAAATCATGTGGTAGGGCAGGGAGCTTCACCTTAGTTGTGAAGCCCTACTCTCATGTCATAGGGCACTTCTGGAAGGAAGCCCTGTAATGGCCAGCTCTAAGTACTTGCAGATTTCCTACTAGTCCTACCAGGAAGTCATTCTTGTGTCTCACCTGCATGAGTTCCTGTTATGAGGCCAGGGGACTGGTGAGTTGAAATCCAGTTCCAGGGACTGATGTCATCTTGATTGAGCTATGATCCTGGTGACCTGTTCCCCATCCTGGTGTTGTTGCAGCCCTTCAGCTGGGGTTCAGGTTATAAGGGGACCAAAAAGGAAAAAGGGGGAGTAGGATAAGAGAAGAAGAAAAAATGCTTGCACATTTCCTTTGTTTCACTAAAGCATTTTCTGCTTCCATTTAATCTGATGGGAGGACCTGGCCAATGGCAGATGGCAGATGCTCTTGGAATAGGGGTGAGCTCTCACACATACCTCAAAATACAAAGGATTAAAACATACAGAAAGCTTTCATTATTTCTGGTAACTGCTGACTTGGAAATAGTGATTTATTCTCTTTTCTTTTGATAAAGTTAAAAAAACATGCATTAATACTTTTAAAACATTTATATGTTGTAAACAATGCATAACCACAGGACCTATCTTAGCAACATAAAGAAAAAATATAAATGTTTGGATATGTTCAAATATTCAGATTCTTTCTACGCAATGTCAAGTAGATTAGGAGGTCAAATCTGGAAATCCTGTTTTATTATTTATTACTATAAGTAATAAAATAGGATTGCCATTCAATTCCATTTAGATGAGATCCTTTGGTTCTTAGTATACCAAGTCAAAAACTAAAATGAAGTCAAGCATAAGACAGAAAAATTGCGATTTTCAATATGATTGGGAGAGAAGCCTTTCTTTAAAACAATAAATTTAAGCAATGAAATGAAAGAAAGATTTAAATTTTTACCACATTTATTTCACATCATGATTTCTTAGTCCTTATTAAGTTGATACAATGTGGGGTCATAAATACTCCCTCTTCCCTTTTTTGTTGCATATGTGTTAGTAGGGTAGGAAGAACATAATATTAGAGAATAGGTCAGGGAAGTGGAAGATAGTCAAAGAGAAGAGAGTGTTTATATGAATCCTTCCATAAGCAGTACCAACCAACCAAGTACAAAGTTGACCCCATGAAGTGTTTTCTTTCCATGTGGACTTCTGAAAGCATGAAATAATTTGGGATCATATTTAACATATATTAATTATATAGCATGTGATGCAAGTTTCTATCAGACATGATGAGTATATTCTTTTTTTCTCTCAGTTTTTAATCTCCACGGATGACATTATTCACGAAGCACTTTTTATATATTATTCAACACAAATTAATTTGGTCAGATAAACCAATCTTGGTTGGCAGAAAGCGTGGTTAGCTGCCATGTAAAGGTCCTCCTGTCAAGTAGCACTTGATTGTACACTTGGAGTTTCATAACAGAGGAAATTCTTGATGGGCATTCCTTTCAGTTGGGTCTATGATTCATCTGCAACACTAAGTGTCAATACAAAAAGGTCACACCTTCGTTAAAGATTTGTACAAAACCACCTCTTGCAAATGTACTGATATCTTGTCCAGCTTGTAAGGAATTGTTCTCTGCTAGCCTTTTTATTCTCCGTTTCCTCGAAAGGGCTTTATCCCAATGCTTTTGGTGCTTCCAAAGTGGCTGAGGCTGTGCTGCCTCTGTGCTGGGGATGCCTGCCCAGAGAAGATTAAAATGCATGCAGATAACCTGCATTAGGTTCATCTAGTCAGTTCTGCCCAATCCACAGGAGTAAAAAATGGGTGCGATTTGATATCTTCAACGCCAGCAACTCCAGCACCAAGACGCTCCACAGGATTGAACTGCAAGAGCTGAGAAAGAGGATTAGTGACTAACAGGAATCCAATGAGAAAAACAAAATATATGAAAGGAAAGTACTTGCAAACTCAACCCCAGCAGCAAATGAATAGCCAATTGACTATCTTTTCTTGAAAGGGAGAGGTGTCTAACATCACTCTAGTGGTGGCTTTTCAACTGATTTGAAACATGACCTTGGAGTGGATCACCTTGTTTCTCTCATCCTCATATAGTTATACTTGTGAATTTACAATTCCAAAAGTACAGTGAGACATTATTTTGATATTGCACCAAATTCCGAGAAGTCCAGTTACTCTTTTCATGACTTGAAAGTTTGGGCAACACAGTAGTAAGTCTTTCAATCCCTAGTGGATTATATGTGTACTACTTCTAAACTTTACCTGAAGTCTGAATTGGCCAATTCATATTCCAAAATTATTTTCCTTGGAATAGCTGACCCACATAGAATAATTCACTCCAATGAGTAAAACATATTTTGACTTATCCAATATTAGAATTTATGTATAAGTTAATAATATTATATGATCAGAATTGTTGAGTGTGGGAAAAACAAGTAGTCATATACAATTATTGTAGACCATTGGCATGCTGAAAGAATGTGTTTTGAAACATTCACACATCCTCAAATTTTTGTCTCAACAGCTTTAAGGAATAATTTATATAGCATAAAATTCACCTATTGTAAGTATGCAATTCAATGATTCTCAGTAAAGTTAGAGTTGCATAACTGTTACCACTATTCAGTTTTAGAACACTTGGATCACCCTAAAAAGTTTCCTCATGCTGTTTACAGTTAATCCTCACTTCTATCCCCTGCCCAAAGCAACCACTGATCTGTTTTCTATCTGTAATCTCAGCCTTTGTGGATACTTCATGTAAATGGAATCATAAAATACATTGTCTTTTATAGCTTCTTTCTTTCACTTTGCATTATATTTTTTTAGAGTCATCCATGTTGTAGCGGTATCAATAACCCATTCCCTTTATTTCTGAATATTCCACTGTTGGCTGTAACACGTTTTGTTAATCTAGTCATCATATTAATGGACATGTGATTTTCCAGGTTGAGGTCAATGAATACAATTGCTGTTAACATTTGTGTATATGTCTCCTTGTGGACTTTCATTTATCTTATGGGCATTCCTAGATGTGCAATCATAGAGTCATGTGGTAAGTTCATGTTTAGCTTTTACTGCCAAACTTTTCTAAAGTAATTATACCATTTTATATTCCCACCAGTTTCTCTACATCCTTACTAATACTTCCTAGCATCTATCATTTTTATTATAGCCCTTCTAGTGGATATTAGTGGTATCTTATTATAGGTTAATTTGTATTCCCTAATGACTAGTGATGGCATTTTTCATGTTCTTATTAGCATTTCATACAGCTTCCTTGGTAAATCTTTGTCCATTTTTATAATTGAGTTGTCTGCTTGTTGAGATTTTAAGAGTTCTTTATAAATTCTGAATACAAGTCCACTAACAGCTATATGGTTTGCAAATATTTTCTCCCAGTCTGTGGCTTGTCTTTTCCTTTTCTTACTAATGTCTTCAAGTATAAAAGTTTTTATTTTAATGAAATCCACCTTATCAATTTTCCTTTTTGTTATCATGTTTAATAACTTTTCCTAATCCAAAGTTATAAAGATTTTCCAGTTTTCTTCTACAATTTTTATAATTTGTGCTCCCAAAGGTCTATGAGCTATTTTGAGTTAATTTTTACATATAATATGGTCTTAGTTCATTTTGGTTTTACATGTGAATATTTTATTTTCCCAGCACTGTTTGTTGAAAAGACCTTTTCACTATCAAATTATCTTGGCATCTTTAGTGAAAATCAATTGACAATCATGTATGGGTTTATTTCTGAACTCTCAATTTCATTCCATTGATTTATATGCCTGTCTTTGCTCTAATAACACAATAAGTAATTACTGTGGCTTTATACTGACTGGAGACCAGGTAGTATGAGTCCTCCAACTCCATTCTCTTTAAAATTATTTTGCAGCTTTGTTCAGTGGCAGTATTGTACCCAATGAGGTTTATCCAAGGTGCCATTATTACTAACTGAAAACTTAAATTAAAAAAAAAAGATTATTTTGGACAGTCTAGGTCCCTTGCCTTTTCATGTATATTTTGGAGTCAGCTAAAGGTTTCCTAATTTTGCTGATCTTTTCAATGAACCAACTTGTAAATACCTTGATTTTTCTCTTATTTTTCTCTTTTCTATCTCATTGATTTCTGCTTCCTTTCTTCTGCTTGCTTTTTTATAGTGTCTGCTTCTTAAGGTACAAGGTAAGATTTTTACTTGAGATCTTCTTTTCTGACATAGGTGTTTAAAGTCATAAAGTTTCCTCAAAAACTAATTCAGTGCATCCTATAAATTTTTATATATTTGTATTTGCTTTTAGTTCATTAAGAACATTTTCCAGCTTCTCCTGGAGTTTTTTTTTTTCCTTTCACCCATAGGTTATATGTCATAGGTGTGTTGTTTAATTTCCAATTTTTTTTTAATGATTTTATTGATTTCAGAGAGCAAGAGAGATGGAGAGATAGAAACATCAATGATAAAAGAGAATCACTGATAGGCTGACTCCTGCATGGTCCACACTGGGGATAGAGCCTGCAACAGTGTATGTGCCCTGACTGGGACTCAAGTCATAACCTCCTGGTTCATAGGTCAATACTCAACCACTGAGCCACACCAGTCTAGCATAAAATATCAAATATTGATAAAAATTCACTATGACTATCAAATATTTTTTAACATTTCAGAAAATGTAAATCCTTTCTTCTTCGTTACAATTGTCTTGTCCACCCTCATACTTTCTAAAGCATGACCTAATTATGATATTCCAATAGAGGTTCATATTTTCATTTTACTGAAGTCAATTTACTTAGTTTATGGATTCTTCTATAAATTTGCAAGTATAAATCTATAGGCAAAAGTATAATTGTTTTACTTATGACTATCTTGTTTATTCTGCTATTTTAAATACTATACCAGGCCACAAGAGAGATCATGCAGATTCCATTGCTTAAAAGAATATGTCAAGCTGAAACCAGTTTGGCTCAGTGGTGGAGCGTCTGTCTGCGGACTGAAAGGTCCTAGGTTCGATTCCGGTCGGGGGCATGTATGTTGATTGCGGGCACATCCCCGGCAGGGCATGTGCAAGAGGCAGCTGGTCGATGTTTCTCTCTCATCGACATTTCTAGCTCTCTATCTCTCTCCCTTCCTCTCTGTAAAAAATCAATAAAATATATTTTTTTTTTAAAAAGAATATATCAAATAGTGGCAAATCCAAGATAATCTTTCAACTAACATGCATGCTCTGAGGGTTCGTAAAATATAAGTATCTTCTTTAAAAAACTGCATTTACTATGTTTACTTCAGTACCATTGCCTTGACTAAGATGACTGAACCATGGATTTTATGAAAGCTAGGAAAAAAGCAAAAAGATGACAGACCAAAGAGGGGCAATCTCCCCAAAGCAGAATAGTTATTTCCATATAAATCATTCTGTGGGTTTTTTTAAATGGCCTCTATGACCTGTGAGGTAGTGGAAGAGGAAAGTCAAAGTGACAAATGGCTAATCATGCCAAGAGACCCCTCTTCCCTTTCCTGATGATGTTTCCCCAACCTGAGTGGTAGTTTCCTTAGGCAGACGATGACAGAATGCTGATTTACGATATAAGCAGTAAGTATCCGCATTTGGGGATTTAACATACCTTAAGCTAAGAGTTCTTTACAACTCCTTTATAATTTCTAATAAAAATGGGAGCAACAGACCTTTATAAATTAATGTGGGAAATTCTATTCTAGATGTTATTCAGGGTGGGGAAAAGTAGTTTTATAGTTGTGAGTAGGTAAAACATTGTTTATTCTTGTATTAGTTATTAATTATTGCATTATTTTTCCATAGAACAACTGTAAACCTACTTTTGTCCCACACTGTATAATAATGACTACATTCTCTTTAAAGAAGAGAAACAAAAATTGGCAGTTGCTAGCCTTCTTTAAATTATTTACAAAAAAAAACACCTAATTTTAAATTTACCTTTTTGTACCACAATAAGATGAAATCAAATGAGTAACTGTCCTTTTCCCATTGAAATTAAATGTTTTATATATCTTTACATTATCTCTTAGTTCTTTTGCAAAATGCTTAGGGTATTCTCATCTCAGTATTTACAACCTGGTTATGCTGCTTTATATTTTCAGGATCTTCATGAAGTACAGTTCTGATTCTTTCACTCTTCTGTACAAAAAGCTCATGATTTTTTTTTTAATTAAATACTATCTCTCTATCATGGAATCAAGATAATAGAACCCCATGGGAGAATCCCAACTTACCTTTTCACACTCATCACTATATACATCCCACCAAACTGAGTCTTTCTTCAGACTTTTTTCTTTATTTATCCCACCTACCTATCTCTCCCACATCCCACCTTGTCATGCTGAAAACCTCAGGCTCCACAAAAATAACACCCACTACACGAAATGTATCAAAATACCCCCTTTGTATCTTCACTTGCTAAAGTATTCTTTCAACCTGTATGGCAGCCTTTAACACATCCATCTGGGATACAGTTTTTCATGTCTTACCTTTACAGCTTACAGCACTATGCCTTGCCTACATCTGTTGAATGGAACCAAAGCCACTCTTCAAGAGGATACTAGGTATTTCTCTTTTTAATATATTATATTAGCTCTTCCTCCCCTTTAAAAAAAAAATTATTTTCCCTGATTAAAAAAAATTCATGGATGACGAAACCTGTTTGGCTCAATGGATAGAGCGTTGGCCTGTGGACTGAGAGGTCCCAGGTTCGATTCCAGTCAAGGGCAGGTACCTTGGCTGCGGGCACACCCCCAATAGGGGGTGTGCAAGAGGCAGCTGATGGATGATTCTCTCTCATCGATGTTTCTAGCTCTCTATCCCTCCCTCTTCCTCTCTGTAAAAAATCAATAAAATATATTTTTTTTAATTCATGGTTCATTAAACAAAAATTTTAGTTCTTATGTTTTTCAAATAGCTTTTCTCTTTGTATTTGCATAGAAGCATACAGATCCCAGGCCTGACCGTTATTGCTGATTTGCTGTGAGCCCATCATACCACAACACTGACAATCCTCAGTGTACTCACCAAATCCATTATTCAAAACTAGAGGAACATTTTAAATGTAGGGAATCAATTTTAGAAGCTCACCAGAGTTTCAAGCCTACCTCTGAGATACTAAACTTTAGTTATCAACTATAACTATCTTTTTCTTCAAAGCCACGAAAAAATGCACTGACACCAATGTCCAAGTTCCATCAATGGATGAAGCTAATTAAGAATGATCTAACTGGGCAACATTTTCTAACACCACTTCTCCCCTATGCAACCTGAGGAGTCTATTTCTAAGTTTATAAATATGAATTAAAGATTGAAAATAGCTATTCATATATAGTTAGAAAATGTAATAGCAAAAATAAAGCAGCTCCAGACAAGCTAAACGCAAGACTGCTAGGGGGACACTTTGCATATTAGATAGTTAAATAGGTAGGTAGGTAGGTAGGTAGGTAGGTAGATAGATAGATAGATAGATAGATAGATAGATAGATAAAAATAGATAGATATAGACAGACAGACAGACAGACAGACAGACACAATATTAGCCTAGATTTTTGAGAGAGAAAAATTTTAGTACCAATAAGCTTACCAATGCTTAGATAATAGCAGAAACTTGAAGATACACAGTACTATTATAGTTCTGAATTTGCAATCAGTAATGGGTCTTTCTTGCCCAAAATTAATTTAAGGTTTTGGAGCTGCAGACTGCTAATTTGCACGTTTGACATACTTGGCCAAAGGTCAATTAATTACCTGTTGAATAAGTGAGCGAGCCTCTTCAGAGACACAGTCTGGCATGTTCAAAGTAGTGTGAGTAGTTATTCCTGCTGGATGGCACTCAACCAGCGTCTGAAACAATCAATCAGGTACACTTCTTACCCAGGATTTATGGACTGCGAGTACAGAGAACTCAGCAATAGTCTTAACTGGAGGTGTAGCAATCAGCAGTGCTACTTAAGCAGTTTAGGACAAGGACTCTAAGCCTACAGAACTTCTAACTGGAATAAAGGCAATCAGATAAATCACATAATAAGCTTATGTTTCTAGTCCTTTTACCTTAGTTATAAAGTGGCTCATAAGTAAAGAGCTTATATTTATACATAAAAACTAAACAGGGACTTTAGATAACTCTAAAAAATTATAATGTATTAAAAACCTTCAAAGTTAATTTTATATAAATAATTAATTTTGAAGATTTAAATGTATGTATAGGTGATTTGTAAATTTGGGAATTCAGTATTATCTACATATTTAAGATAGAGGGCTACTTATAAAACTATGACTATTCATTTCCTCTGTCTGGTTCCCAGGAGGCAATCTGCACAGTACCCTATTAAAAGTTTACTAACCTCAAATATCTTACTTAAAAGTTATTGATCAGAAAGAGCATAAATACTGACCTAAAGCTAGAACAGACAGGAAAAATTTACAGTATTGAGAAAAAAAAGGTTACCATTCATATCTACATTAATTTTCTTTAAAAATGAGAATTCCCTCCTGATTTCAGACAAACTGTTTAAAACATCAAAGAATTCTAATACATCCTGATATGAACCTTACAGATTTAACTCTATTTAAAAGTGAATCATAGAGAAAAAAGGTTTAGTTTTATATCTTATTGTGTACTGACATTGTGACTTACAGAATTTTACCACTGATTTATTCAGTGCAATACAACTCTATTTTTTTAAATCTGAAATCTTGATAAATTTACTGAATATATATATATATATATATATATATATATATATATATATATATATATATTAAAGTTTTTCTTACCTTGTCTCTGATCTAAAAATTATAGACAAAGGCTAAATGGTCTCAATTTGAAATCAAGGTAGCATCTGGGTAAACTTATTAAGCGTCCAGGTCACTGCTTACCTTGCCAGTGAGAAGTTCAAAGAGGACAGCGCCCAAACTCCACCAATCACAGGCTTCAGTTTCTTCAGTGATTGCTCCAACCTCTAAACACACCAAAAAAGGTTGATATTAAAATTCCAAAGGTCAATTAAAACTTTCAAAATTAACATGTATTAGCAAGGTGACCTTTTTAATGCTGAGAGAGCAAATACTAAATACTACTGGGCTTTCAAAATCCCTGAAAGTTACTTATCCCTTTGATCACCTACTGTGGTTGCATTTTTTTTTTTTAACGCAGTCATATGTTAAATGGAGACATTTTTTTCTTTAGTTGATAGAGGGACACCTTCAAGATACTATACTTAAAAGTTACATGAATATACTATTGTCAGCATTTTGCTTAATTTTTCAAATTTGAGAAAGTGTAGTCAACTCTACCTAAGAGGTCATATTTTGATTTAAAAACAAAGACTCTACATTCAGAAGGAACTGCAAAAATCATTTAAAGCAGTATTAATTATCCTTGCACAGAATAGAAACCAGAGAGGTGACATTCCTTGTCCAATGTCACATAGTAAATCAGTAACAGAACTAAGACCTAGTTCATAGTATCATCCTTCTCCTATATAATTGTTTTCAACTAAAGGAGGAGCATGTGCAATGCAGATTTACCCACTTTGTTATTACAAGTACAGAGAGAAATGTTGTTTTAAGCCACAACTGAAACTATGGGCTAAGATAAGAGATTTTAGAGTGTCTACAAATTACAATTTTATCTGTGTTAATCCCTCTCTCATCAGCACAAGTTCTTTAAATGTAATAGGAATTCTCAGGTGTCATCATTCAGGTTTCTCCACAAATCTGCAAAAACTCCTCATTTCACCATTTCTGAGGCTTTTAGACTTTAAGTCATGTTTGATGTATTTTTACCCTTTCCTAATGACATTCAATTAGTTACAAAGCCACACACACACATGCATATATATATATATATATATATATATATATATAGGCACATCCTTATGATGGAATACTACTACATAAGCATTTAAAATGATGTATTCATGCAAGGTTTAAGTATATAAGTCAACATCTGGATATATTAAATTTAAGAAAAACAAGCTATAAAACAACAGAGTTCTTATTTTAAAATCATGTTGTTGTTTTTTAAAGATTGGTGAGAAAATATGACAAAATGTTTTAGTGGTTTGCCTCTGTATTAGTGAGAGTTTTACTTTCATTCCATGCTTGTTAGCCTACATGAATATCCAAGTGGTACAATTTTATTTTATTTTTTAAATATATTTTTATTGATTTCAGAAAGGAAGGGAAAGGGAGAGAGACAGAAATATCAACGATAGAGAATCACTGACCAGTTGCCTCCTGCATGCCCCTACTGGCAATCAAGCCTACAACCTGGGCAAGTGCCCTGACAGAGAATCAAACTGGTCTCCTGGTTCATGAGTTCACCCTCAGCCACTGAGCCACACTAGCCAGCACAAGTGGTACAACTTAAATGTATAACCAGATGACATTAAAACATTCAGGCTTGTTGAAGCAGGGATGACAAAGCTATAAGTAGGTCAATCCTGCCCAAGACTTTCATGGCTACATGGTTTCCCCCACAATTTGAATGTTACTATACATTTCAGAGCAATGGACTAGAAATCAGAAGTCCGGGACTAAGAGCTTTGAGGAATTCACTTGATCTCATTCATAATATGACGGTTAGTTCTGAGGGTCTCTATGTTAAGTGTAGCTCTACATTCTATAGTTTGGACACTCAAGGATTTCCTAAAATAGTGATTTACTTTAAGAAAAGTTCATTGGGCTCTCATTCAAAGTGCTTATCGTATCCTTCCAAGATTCAAATACACTGCCCACACCCATCCCCAAGTCTCCCACTGCACAGTTCCTTCCAGTTTAAGCAGTCAATGCATCCTCTTCCTATCTAAAATTCTGAAATGGCTTCTCATTGACCATTAAATAACATTCACATGTATACAGTCAGGCCTCCACAATGAGGTACCACTCTTATCAGCATATATAAACAGCACAAACTATTATAGACTCTATACTAGGCACTAGGCATTAATCCTTCATGTGCTGGCCACATGTTAAATAATGTGAAACTAAAATGACATAGGTTGTGGTTTTGTCTTTTAGGTTTTTTTTTTTTTCTCAAGAATTTAAGTTATTCCATTTTCTTTAATTGTACAGCAAGTACTACATATCACTTAGTTTTATAATATATGCAATATCTGTTCAGTAGTCAAGATCCAAAATCATCGGTCAGGCATCTGTTTTGAATATGCTACAATAAGTCTCATATTCTGTGTTGCTGTGCTCATAGTAGGTACACACCACAATAATGATCATTGCAACACTAAAATAGCAGTTAACATTTATTGACTACTTACTATATGTAAGGAACTATGTCTAATATTTTGCATGCATTATTTAACATTTCCAAGCAAGTTTATGGAAACTTTTTTTGGGTAGGGTGCCTTTGGAGACTATAGTAACTGAGTGCCCTGGGAAAAGAGGAACATCTGACCCAATCAAAAGTGAAAATTAATAAGATGATTTTATAGGGTCTAGCATGCCCTAAAAAGCTCTAGACGAAAGCCATATGCCACTCTGCTCAGAAAGGTTTCCTGTTAGGATTGAGCAGAGGGCCACTGAGATAAAGGCTCCATAATGTAATTGATGGCTAGCAATTTATAAAGATCTTTTTAAATTCAACCAAAGGTCCAAGTGTCATTACCAGTGCAGCCTAGACCATCAAAGGGGATATGTTATGCTAGTTTCCCATATCACTGCTGGGATTGGGAGTGGGTCTGGGGGTGAGAAGGTGGGGGCGGGGGGATGAAATGTGTGTGTGTGTGTGTGGGGGGGATACTTGAAACTACCAAATAAGCACAGTACATCTTCCTGAGCATAAAGCCTTTTATATGTGTGGAAGAGAACTGGATATTGTTTTACCATTAAAAGAAACTGAGATCTATTTTGGAACATAATGTAAAATTTACATGGATTTGCAAGATAAAAGACTTCAAAGGAACTTCAGGATCATATTTCACTAGTCCCCTGGGGTACCCATATCGTATTGCTTCTACAGTCAAGAAGTAGTGGGGTAGAAAAGTTTGAGAAGCACTTCAGGAGGCAGACAAGGTATATTCCTTTATTGATTTCTGTGAACATGCTCAACTAAGGAGTCTGAGAACTGGGTTCATTGGTTTTATCTGCTTTGAAATCCCTCGCAATTTTCTGCCCGAATCCTTAAACAGGTAGATAATGACCAACATACTGCATCGAATGTGAACTGCCACAGTGTCTGAATATTTCCTATTAGCATATATTATTATACATTAGCCCTAATTCTAATTCTTAGATTAAAATTGTAAAGATATACCCTGGAATTGAATTGCCAAAAAGAAGCCTGAGGCTGTGTGGTTGTCAAAAGCACTTCTCTAAGACTGCTTTACTTGCAAAATCTATATAAAAAGTTTAAACATAAACCAAGAATACTGATTTATATATAAAGCTACACAACAGCTGTTACAAACACCAGGCAAATAGTCAGTAGATGTGACTAACTTCAAAAGTAGAAAACTTATAGAAATAAAGACCAAATAAGTTTGTGAAGCTGTTTTCAGAATAAAATATGGTGAAGCTGAGAAATCCCTTTAAACTCCTACCTTACATTTTTTAAACCCTAAAAAAAAAAAAAGCAGAAACATTTTAAAAGATAAATTCTACCAGTTTTGTCAATTTTCAAAATATTTTTCTTATAACACCCAAGTGTTAAGTTTCCATGCGTGCCCCCTTCACCGCCACTACATTCTACATTTGCAATTTCCAGTGGCCTCATTCTGCACAAGTGTAGCAGTACTACAGGCATCGAACAAAATGATTGGGAGGAAATAAACTATTCCATAAGAAAATAAAACGAATTCCCAGATTTTTTCCCATCTAACCTCAAAAAACGATGGTGATATCAAAGAATCCTAGATATTCTTCTTTTGAGTCAAAGAAATGTATTGATTGACAGGGCTTGAGCTATGCTGCTCTGTGAGCCTGGCTTGGCTCCGTGTGCTACTAAGCTTCTTGGAAAATGAGGACAGCCAGACCTCTAACATTCTTCCTACCTGTAATTTTATGATTCTGAAAGTGTTTTCAAAAGTACTCATGAGCCTTTCTCATAACTTTTCCCCTCTCCATTAACTTAAGATGCCCAAGGAGTGGGATTATGCTAAAATGAGCTAGCAATGCTCAATTTTCCTCTTTCTCCTTTCTAGACCCAACCACTCTTCCTTTTCTCTAAGAGACCTGGTGGCAAGTGAAAGAATCAGTGTCACTAAACCTGTTATTATCTTTCAATGTAATGGAGACAGAATCAGCTCCAGGATAAATTTCCAATCATCTAGGATTTTAAGGAAATCAAATACATGTGAACAGTTTAGTAAAATTTTAGAACTCTCTCTTTAGTACAATGATCATATTCTAACACAACAAAGAACCTTACTGATTCATACTCTTATTTCACAAGTGAATAAACGAGTTCACATAACAATAAAACTATCGCAACGTAAAATGTACTTTGACTACAGTGATTCCACTCACGTTCAACACCTCATAGAACACTCTTCAACAAGCCAGGGTATCTTTCAAAAAAAATTATGCTGCCTTGGTAACCCATGTTGTCAAAGGGCTTGCTAAAACATAGGAGAGTTTTATAGTCTTTATGATAATCAGAGTTTACTGAGTCTCCCTCTTATAGCCCAAAATAATCATGTTAACCTGACCCCAAAACTGTAACTGTAATAAGCCTCACTCCTGAAAAGTAAAGGAGTATAAAAACAGCTTGCACTCAGGAAACCCTAAAGTGTCTATATCTGTATGAGAAGTGAAGGGAAAAAACAAAGTATCCACTCAGACTTGAGGCAGTAGGAACAGACCATGTGATCTCAGCACTAGAGACATCATACAGGGTATCCACAGGCTTAGGCCCTGCCTTTTAGGACTACATGATTTAAATTACATAGATCTGTCAAAGACATGACTCAAAAATAACCAAAGATAATGCTAAAACTATGATGGG